CACCGTGGCGTACAACTACGCCCCGAATCCGGACAAGCAGTGGATCCTGCAGTACACGTCGAGGATGCACGACATCCAGCTCAAGTTCACAGACCTCCTCATGACCAAGCGCCTGCAGACGCTGCAGACCGTCGACGAGGCCGTACATAGGGTGGGTCGATGGCCCTTGGGGACTGTGTTCAGTGTTGTACACCTTTGGAGGAATATGATTAAGAGTATTGAGTTATTTCGTCGAAGATATTGTCGAGTAAAATTCATATTTAGTCTTTTTCTTACATGAGTTTAAGATACCAGATTATTAACTGATTAATATATATGTAAATGTTCCTGAATAATACCGGCACCAAGCCTCCGCTTATAGGCGGTCCTGCCTAAAAACCACTAATAGGGCCCTTGCTTAAACTAATACCAAGTAAACGAGTGTTTGCTAACTAAATATGATTTTTTTTTCAAGATAATCCGCGCCCTGGATTCCCTCGGGGAATTAGACAACACCTACGTCTTCTACACCAGCGACCATGGTTACCACTTGGGCCAGTTTGGCCTCGTCAAGGGGAAGTCGATGCCCTTCGAGTTTGACATCAAAGTGCCCTTCTTGGTTCGCGGCCCCGGCATCAAGGCCGGAGTTCAGTAAGTGCTTTCCTCTGGTTAGTTTAGCCAGCTTTGAATTCCTTTCTCTTTTCGTTTTTTGTGGAATTTTGCTCATATTTTTGCAATACAGTTAGTGAAAAATATATTTCATTCGATTTATTATTTGTATTGATCGAAAAATATATTCCTTGATAATTGTTTGAAGTTTTATATACATATGTAGGATACATTTAAGATTCTCGTCCTCTTCATGAATGAAAGAGCCAAGAAAAGAATTATCACATATTGCAGAATAAACAAAATTGCTCTGAACGTTGATCTGGCGCCGACCTTCCTGGACATTGCCGGCATCAAGCCTCCGCCACACATGGACGGGCGCTCGCTGCTACCGCTGCTGAAGAGCGACCAGCCGGACTACGTCACCTGGAGGGACAGCTTCCTGGTGGAGAGGTGCGGGGATATTGCAGAGTATTTGGATATATTTCACAAAATAAAGATGAACTATGCTTAATTGAGATTCTAGATTTAATGGATACTGTATACCTTTCGTTAATTGCAGTAAGGTAAATAAAGGCAAGAAAGTAGCTAGGCGGAGTGTGTATATGAGTCGCTTAATTTAGTTTTGAAATTACCTTATTCAGCTCTGGTCGCCACCGGGAGGAGGACGCTTTGGAACTGAGGCAAATTCGGCGGATGCAGAGGGCGAAGGGTCTGGCGGCCTCGGCTGGCACTGAAGGAGGCCTCTATACATCCAAGCATGAGAAGCTGGAGATCGTGTGCGAGAGTGACGAATACCGAGCCCCCTGCGGACCTCTGCAAAAGTGGGAGTGTGTTCGTGAGGGATACAGGTAAGGGGATGTCGTATGTTTATACTTACTACTGTTGACGACAAAGAAGTGAATTGTTTCTGAAACATGATGTGTTTATTGTTACTAAAGGTGGAGACTGCAGAAGTGCCGCAACAGAAACAAGTGGCGGAAGCGCAACTGCGTCTGCGAACCTGACCTGGGAATGGGATACCTGGTCAAGCTGGACTCGGAGGAACGCCGAAAACAGAGGCTCTTCCTCAAGAAACATGTAACCCAAGGTGTGTTCCTCCATCTGTATGAGAAAGTCTTGTAAAAAAATAATAGCCATTTTAACATTGTGTATGAATTTACATGACTTAGTTCAACATAGTAACATTTCGTTGCTCACATTTTGAAAGGTGCCCTACGTTTTATCTGATTATACCATAGAAGTAAGGATAAGTATTTATTCAAATATTAACAGACCTGAAGAAATACGAGCCAAAGTTCATCAAAGCATTCAGCGATGTTGATAGCAGTGAAGTTGCGGAACAGAGTCTTGGTAGACGAATTCAGCGCAACTCCCGTTGGTCTGCTCAGCGGAATCGCAGGCGCAGGTTAGCACTTTTGTAATTTTCACATTTTCAAGTCAGCTATATATTTTTTGCAATGCCTTCGCATAACCCATCGCGGCGATTTTGGTATCGATGAATTCCTCTCACTCTGTAGACACATATGTAGGAATTATGCCGCCCCCCCCCCCAACCCCGACATATTTGGTCCCGATAGCAGGTGGAGGCATGAAAGGTACCAAGGGAAACTGCAGGGTAAAATATGAATATTACACCCAGAATTAGTCATTGTATAGTATAATACAAGGGGGCTGTGCCACCTGCGACACACCTGCTGTCCCCAACTCTCGCCCAGGAAAACAAAGAATCCACCACGTTTTCACGGCAAGGTAGAGCGCTCTTGCATGTCGGTCATATGCTCTAGCCTGCCGTACATGGAGGATTCTTTAATTTCCTGGGTGGGGGTTGGCGGCATCCATTCATTTTCGTGGTACCTTTCATGCCCTCCCCTGGGGTTTTCCGCGGCATAATTTCGATATATTTGGGTAGAAGATCAGTTATGCGAAGGTACTAAGGAAAAAAAATATATACGAACGTGACCTATTTCATTACGTGCAATACCCGAAAGCGTAAAATAAACATACGCGCGAACACACATTATGTTGATCCACGAGATAAATTACAAAACGCATGTACATAACCGAAGTAAAGAAAAACATTAATGTAAATTGCAAAATAAGACAGTTCCTGGAATCCTGGTTTGCTAGTAAGATTTTTAAATATTTTATTTCAGATTCAGAAGGGACACTGACGAGCAACCAGTAGAGGAGGATACTGAATATGGCGATGGAGATCCTACCAAGGACAATGAAAAAGATGAAGTGGATGTGTTTGTCAGTGAAGAAGAAATGAGAGCGATCGATGATCAGATTCACCATCTCTCAGATGAACTTGAATCGTTAGAAGTAAGCTTGACAGTTCTCCTGAATGGAAGTATTTTTATCTATTTAATAAAAACAGTCTGGGGCTCTGGCATTTTCGTAGAGCGCATTTCTGTTAAGAAAAATCGTGTGATAAATTACTGATGGCTTTGTCTCCCCCTCCCCGTCGCCGTTAGCTCCATTGATTTATCAATAGCTGATGAGTAATTAGCATGATCTCTAGTAGACCACAAGTACGTATAATAACTGAAACTTCTTTTCGTCTAGTCGTGGGAGACAAAGTCAAGAGTTCTTATGCAAATTGCTTCACTCAAAAAAGGGTTGTTAACAAACTTCATGTTTTTTCTTCTCAGAGTGTGAGCAGTACAACATCCACATCTGTTGCTGTTGGAAATGAATCTCTCTCTACAATACCATTACCAGGTGCGGCAAATTATAGAACTGTGGAACTACAACTTCTGATTGTTAATAGTCATCACATGGCATATGTATATACTAATATACCAACACCAGTGTGGCTTACTATAGCCACACACCCACAGACACCCACCAATCCAATGCTAAATATTCCTTGAATTTTGCAGGAGAGAAGACTGTGAAGCTTCGCCATGGATGCAGAGCAACTGGAACCTCAGTGGACTGCACTGATGAAGTCTACCGAGATCCACATGCCTGGAAGATGAGCAAGGAAGCCATTGATGATAAGATTCGAAGATTAAGGCATCAGCTGTTTATGATGAAGGTACATTTAATTTTTATATATTTTTAAAAACTCTCCAAGGATTTTAGTGGTTTCAGGTACTCGTGAGTCCTACTTTTCATCATTATGTACTGATATTTATAATAAGTTACAGCATACCTTTCATGTTTGTATATTTTTGTATATGAATGAATGTGAATGATGTGTTCCAATGACTAGTGATTTATAATTGTACACAGGGTATAAGGAAACATTTGCGAGAGAGCCGCCCAGACTCAGTTCTAATTCCGGAGGATTATGAATATGATGAGGAAGAAGGCACTGTTGGAGATTATGATGTGTTAGATGTGAACAGCATTCTTGGCTTAGATGGTGAACTAGACATACCTGATGATATGCTTCCTGAAAATGAAGATACTGAAGAAGAGGATAATGTTATAGAGAATGAAACACACACACACAGCTACATGGAAGACACTGTGGAGGAGACCACAATGATGGTTGGAGAAGAGGATGCTAATACAGAGGAGGAAGATAATGATGATTACCAGTATGTTACAACTGAGAGCAGTAATTTTGAGGAGGAAGAAGTTCATCAAGAAGTTG